GAACCCACTGGGTTCGTTGATGAATACGGCCACTGGAGCGCATGCGTAGCACCTTGTAGATCAGTAGCCCTGACGCGACTGTGGCACATTTTGTCTTACCCTTCTTTAGACTGTTAATCTGTTCCGTAAGGGTACTGCCAGACTGTGGCGATTACGCAGCATACGCCGCATACGCCGCCGCAGTCTAGCAGTGCCCTAACCATTTGTGATAGTTCATGTAATCTTTAACATATGCTTCAACTGAAGTACTTGGCTTCTCCAGGTGGAAGATTCGAAACCGTTACTGAACATCTCCAGCACATCGACCACATCTGTCATCAGTTCTTCAGTACGAAATGGAGTACCTGAATTGGTCTCTCGAGGTGCTTTTTCCGCATTATGAGCGAAGTGTCGCGGAATATGGCATTTTGTGAGAAAGGCATTTATGAGTAGCTCCAAAGCGCTGATTAAACAGCGTCGTTTGTTGTGCGCTCCACGCATTGTCATTCCAATTCCTTCCAGACGTGAATTCGCCTTCGCGTTTTGAGCAAGATCTGATTGGAGTGCATTTCAACCCGGCTGCTGCACCCCTTCCCAACTTGATACGACAGTATAGGTATGTTTTGGCTCTTCTCTTCCAACATTGCTACGAATAAGTTTTCGTAGCACTGTTGATACAGAGGAAAAATCAAAAATTGTCTCCTTTCACATTTTTACCGCTGACTCCCATAATTTTTTTTAATTTTTAGAGAAAAGTATTCGAACGAGTTTAAGGCTTTGGACGATGAAATATGGAAACATTATGAACTTAACAGACAGGTGATTCAGTTTCTTCTTTCATATTCTTAGTTTGCTCGCACGTTCAAAGCAACCATTTAGACAGAAGAAGTTTATCAGTGGAAAATGGAAGTCCGAAATATCCTTTTGGCGGAGTTTCGCCCGGTAATACAGTCATACGTGTCACTATACATTCTATAACGTCGTTTTAGGCCTTTCCTTATCAAGCTATCGAGTTGTTCGCCGTAGGATCTACTGTGAATGGTTGTGGAAGTTACAACTCTGATATGGATTTATGCCTTTGTATACCCATGGGTCCCGAAAACCTCTACTCCTCCGAAAGAATGTGAGTGACCTCATGTTTATATTGAAGGTGCACATGATGGGTATCATTTACTTTCGAAATTTTATGTTTCCTCTAGATCCAAGCGTTGTAAATATTCTGTTGATTTTTGATTTGGTAGTCATTTCATGCCTTTTCTTGACGAATAGAACATTCGCACGCTGTCACCGTTTCTCGCTCGTTAGCGAGACATGTAGATCGTGTCTCAAGTTTGTCTCACCAAAAAGATTATCTATCTGAAAAGGGAAAGAGGGAGTGATCTTTTAATTGGTAAAACTCTCACAGGGTCAAAAGGAAATGTAAGAGCTGGAAGGAACTTTGATTTTCATTAATATCATAATGCTGAGATTTTCTTATTCATTACGTACTTATAAGATGGATTTAAGGGCAGCGGTCAAAATTCTACGTAGACTCAACACAATTATCAAAGGCAAACCCTCACTTCGTAAAATAGTGAGAAGAAGTGAGGTCATTCCAGCCAAGGTATGTACTTTTGCCGATAGCAGTAAGATCCATTCCTTTATTATTCTAGGTACCTATTATAAAAATGACTCTGCATCCACCGTACGAGGAGTTGGAT